ATTTAGTGCTTGCTGACTAAATATTCAAGCTGCCGCCAGAACATAAATTATCGCTCTAAAGGGCAATACCGTTGTTCTGATCCAGGTTTGTTGAACACAACATATCCATGGGTTCCTGTTTTGAAACTATATTATTAAATTAGTTTGTGATGTTGACGGAGGGAATTTTACCGAGAACTTCTCTTTGTTGTAGCTGATCATTGGTCCTAGTATTTTTAGTTTAAGTTTGAGATTCCATGACGCCAACCAAGACAAAATAACGCACACAGTGACAAAATAAAGTGCACCGTGACAAAACAACATACACCGGGACTATATAACGCCCACCACGACTAAATAAGGCACATCGTGAACAAATAACGCACACCATAACAAAATAAAGTGCACCGTGACAAAACAACGCATACCGGGCCAATATAACGCCCACCACGACAAAATAACGCACACCATAACAAAATAAAGTGCACCGTGACAAAATAACGCATACCATAACAAAATAAAGTGCACCGTGACAAAACAACGCATACCTTAGAAAAAATAACGCACACCATAACAAAATAACATACACCATAACAAAATAAAGTGCACCATGACAAAATAACGCACACCGGGACAATATAACGCACGCCACGACAAAATAACCTACACCATAGCAAAATAACGCACACCGGGACAATATAACGCCCACCACAATAAAATAACGCACACCATGAAGAAATAACGCACACCATAGCAAAATAAAGTGCACCGGGAAAAAAACCCTCACCGGGTCAAAATAACGCACATCGTGACAAAATAACGCACACCGGGACAATATAACGCCCACCACAATAAAATAACGCACACCACGACAAAATAACGCACACCGGGACAATATAACGCACACCGGGACAATATAACGCCCACCACAATAAAATAACGCACACCACGACAAAATAACGCACACCGTGACAAAATAACGCACGCCGAGACAATATAACGCCCACCACAATAAAATAACGCACACCACGAAGAAATAACGTACACCATAGCAAAATAAAGTGCACCGGGAAAAAACCCACACCGTGACAAAATAACGCACACCGTGGCAAAATAACGTCAACATCACAAAATAAGGGGCACGGTGATAAAGTAACGCACACCATGACAAATTAACACAAAACAACTTTAAAAAATAATGCGCATCATGTTAGCCTCTATGATAGACTCACAGACATATACGCTATAAATATCGCAACGAGCGAAAGTAGGATTCGGTGAAACAAAATCTTCAAACAAAATATCGTACAATGAAAATTATTATATTTATACAGCCAGGCACACATTTGATAGAGGACAACAACACTTTTGTTCACATCAACATCGCCATGCACAGTCGTTCATCCACTGACAACTTCCTTAAACTGTTCAGAGAAAAGTGCAATAATATTTATATTTATTTTCAAGTCCTTTATCGTTATTTTTAGTTTAAACTTCTAATTAAATCGCAAATATTGCATGAATTTGAAACAGAAATGAATTTAGTGACAATTTGCTTTGGCAAAAACTACCACATATCAATGCGAACAGGCCAAAGATCGTCGAAGTCTGTTTAATAACCCTTTTTAGGGCGCTAATTTTAGTACATGGGTGTTTACAAACTTTTTTCTATTGAGAGGGTCTAGTTTAAACGCCAGGACCTGTGTTCAAGCATTAGAACGTATAAAAAGAATGAACATCACCGGAAACCAGTTTTAAGCGGGAAAATATCCGGCAATCAGGTTGATTTCGGCATCAGAAGCGGTGCACGTGGACAGTACACTGCATAATGTAGTGTGCATCAACACAGTAGCTGCGGGCAATAACGAAGACACACACGTACACACAATTGATCATTTGTCCTGTCTGCTTGTGTTAATATCGACGAAGGCATCACAGCAGTCGGCCATCACTAGACACCGCAACGCGACTGGTGGTGCACACGAGTGAAAACATTTTGGCCCCATGTGACGAGCTTTAGGTTGGATAACAAAAAGAGAGCAGCGGGAAAGAAACGTGTACAGACCGAGATGCAACATATACCACTAAGGAGAGCGTGCCCCACTTTAGAACCAACTGGCAACCATCGAACTCAGATGTGTTTGTATTTCCGTTTGCTTTAGATTTAGATGCGTTATTTTTGTTCACGGCGACTAAAAGATACGTAAGATATGAAATAAAAGTTAAATGTAAAATAATTTTTACTCATTTTTCTTAGAAGAAAAATTGTCTAGAATAATTCACATCCATTTGCTGCACAAGGTGATCGCTGGTAGAAATAGAATGAACTATGACTTAGATCTAAGCAAGAGAATGGCACAGGAATCAATAAATGTTCAATTGGAAATATCTAGCCATATAATTATAAAATGTACCCCATTTTTAACCCCTTTCATTGCCCAATAATATAAAAACATATTTTTGGAATATCAAAGGAAATGTCGCGGCATCCTCGCCGTTACACTAAAACAATCTTGTTTAGTGACGTAGCCGTTTCCACAACAACATTATATGTGCAATAATACTACGTGCGAGCTGAGGTTCAAACCTTTCATATACCCATTTAAGATTCTGTTCTAAGGTTATGATATTCAAATGGAATGCCTCTATTTAAAATTACCTGTTTTACATTACGTGCCAATGTTTGTGAATGCAGTAAAAAACAAAATTCAGTTAGTGCTCAAGTTGTTGCAAAACATCAATTACTTAATACGTATTCCAAATGTTACTCATTTGGCACGAACATCGCATGTCTAAATTCTGACATCACAGTGACAACATTAAAAAACGAATCATGCTTTGGAGAAACTCTCGCTAAAAACGCACCGTATACTGGCTTCTATGAGATGTTTTAAGACAGGGTCTCAGAAGATTTGAAAAACGAAAAACTGTGATTTAGCTCATTAAACACTCTTACTTCACGCAGCGATGCGCATTTTATAGGCGCGTAAATCGTACTCATATTCTCAGTGCATTTACCCCTTCCAGCAAATGGTTGATGCCGTGTAATAAGTACGTTGGAGAGATACACTGCTGAAAGACAAGGTTAGTGTTTGAATCAATAGCTCATACTTAAGGCTAGTGTATCGAGGATTCCTGTTACTCCACTAAAACAGGTGAAATTACAAGAACCGTTTTCAATCATATACTCTAATAAATTCTATCGATTTTTCTAGTCTATTTGAGTGTTTGGAATAGATTTATATCGGTAATCATCCCCACTGCCTCGCTTAGTCTTCTATTGACTCACTCTTAACTTGAAGTGGGGTCTATTTCTACCATGGTGATGGACTTTATTTTACGTAGCCAATCAAGCATCATTCCTCTCTGTTGTCATAGCAATGAAGAGGATAGGGTTGACACTTGTCCTTCTCTTGTTTTGAAATAATTACAATAATTGCTACTATGAGTATAATTATTCGGTTTATATTTAGGTTTTCAACTCATACACAAGATTGCTAATTTTATATAACGTTTTACAGAATCCCACTTTAAGAATAATCTAATGATTTCCCATTTCCCATTTGGAAATGGACGTGCAGTTATATGAAATAATGGTTCATATCGATGCGGCAGTTTGTATCGGCGCCGTAGTTAATACAGACGCGGTGTATTATCAGCTCTGTAATTTATATCGATGGCAGTTTGTATCGGTTCCGTTTATATCGATGCGGTATTTCATATCGACGTGACAGTTTATATCCGTGTGGTAGTTAATAATAGTGCGCTATTTCATTATGCGTTATTTAGTTGTGGTAACTATCAGTGTGATTGGTTATATCGACGCGGTAATTCAAATTGGCACGGTTCATATCTGGAGAGATGGTTTATATTAATGCGGTAGTTTTAATCGGTGCGATTCATATCGGTGCAGTAGTTTATATCAATGCGGTATTTCATATCGTCGTGATGGTTTATATCAGTCCGACAGTTGAACCCCGTGAGGTATTTCATAACGGCGAGGTAGCCCATGATGGTGAGATGGTTTATATCGGTGCGATTCATATTAGTGTGTTATTTCATATCAGTGCGGTTACTACCGGTGAGGTGGTTTATATCGACGCGGTATTTCATTCAGAGGGATGGTTTAAATCGACGCGGTAGTTGAT